AAATGATGCTCGAGATGGTTCAAGTTCGTATAGCAACAGGCGTGACCAGAGTGGTTTGAACGGCTGTTGTACTGCGATGTGGAAAGCAAATGGAAAAACTACCACATTATCACTTTTCCTGGATAGTCTCTTCCCAAAAACAGAAGATCGCATTAAGTGGAGGAACTGTTTTGGAAGAGGCTGTGGACCTGTCGTCTGACAGATTACTCATGATGATGATATATAAATATGTAGCTCAGTGAATGAAGTCGAATGATGAAGAAATAAAAGTAAAGTTGTCCTTGTGCTAAACTAAATAAACACTACTCCATGAAGGCGTATGGGGGAGTGGGCACATAGATCCACATTTTCTTGACCTCGGCACTAGTTGGAGGTGAGTGGTAAGCTGCACACCGGGGCCACTTTATCCCCAGGGAAAAAGCCACAGATACCCATTGAATAAGATGTTGGTTGGATCCCAGACTTTGTCTGGACAACGCAGAGAAGAGAAAATTCTTGAACCTACCGGAACTTGAACTCCAACCTCTTGGGCATCCAGCCCGTAGCTAGTTGCTATACCGACTACGCTATCAATACTCAATATGCAGCATAAGGTGATTATTATTTCTTGATGTGGGCTAAAGTCGAATGACAGACTGTGCAGTAATGGATGCTAGGTTGACTTCAGTTGAATATTGTAGCAATAGGGTTCACCTACAATTTTCTTCCATTTAATTAATGCTGAGTAGGGATCTTAGAGGGATAGGATGGGATGGCATGGATTTGATTGATCTGGCTCAGGATAGGGACTAGTGGAGGGTTCTTGTGAATGCAGTAATGAATCTTCAGGTTCCATAAAATGCTGGCAAGTTCTTGTAGCTACACAATTGGTGGCTTTTCAAGAAGGGCTCAGCTCCATGAGGGAGTGAGTGGGTAATTAGCCCTGAGTTACAATTTGCCATGTATGATCCAGTGAGTACACATCTCCCTTCCCCTACTGAAATAAATCTGAACAGTGAACATACCCACTGAGTACGGCTTCTATTCCCCCGGCGACAGTGGAACGGTTCATATTTTTCATGTATGCATGCATGGGTTTGAAGTATTTGCTGAGTGTGGAGTCTGTGTGGCTCCAAGGGATGGTACCAAACTTGTACATTGGCTTATGACTGAAAGGTTTCGATAGCTGGAAAAATAAAGTAAAGTCTCATCATAATTATGATGTATGCCAGAATTACAGACACTTCAGTTGCTTTGTTAGCTATAATGGAAAACATAGAGAAAAGCTGCCATATATGGGATACTACTTGCATACTTTAGAATAATAAGCACTTGATATGAACACTTTGGACCATATAAATGTTATGGTTTGCAAGAAAATGTGTGAAATCTAATCAGTATGTTTGAGTTTGAAACAAAATTTATATTTTTGTTCAAAAATATATTGAGGTACACAAATACAGTCCACGCACCATCATAGTACTTAATATGGAATGAAAAATCATTTCTCCTTTCATGATTCTCAATATTATTTTAAAAGTAAGGAACACGTTGTGTTAGTGTTTTTAATCACCTCATGTACAAAACAAACCTCATTTTTTACACCTGAACATTCTGTATGGCACCACTGAATAGTCCAGTTTTGTCTTTGTGGATAATCACACCACAGATCACCAAAGACATGGAACAAATATAGCTGAGGGATCACTCCTGGGCTACAAGGTCTCTTCGGCCGACAGTCTGCCTAGCAGTTCATTACAGTGTCGAGTGTGTGCATGTTGTCTTCACTGTAATATTATTCCACATTACGAGTATATTCCACATGTGGCAGCTTTCTACTATTTATTATAATATTATGTTACCAACCCTGGTATCATCGAGGCCTGAAAACTCATGGAATTCTTCACGTGTTATCATGAAGGCCGCCAAATTGGCAGTGTAAATGGCAAGGAACACCACAGCAAACATGGCCCATACATTGGTCATAAATCTGGAAGCATAAGAAAGAAAAATGGAGCATATCATTCTTACTTCATAAATTGGGGAAACAGTATTCTTGTTAGAAATTATGAGTCAGACATTACATTTCCAAACAGATATTCTGAATTGAATTGAATTGAATTTATTTACATTCCGTAAATCCAGTACAGGTGAGACACCATAGGATATGGAACAAGTCAAGTTAGAATACATAGTATCTATACAATAATACAGTAATATTGCAATTAAATGAGGTAAACTTATAATACTTATAATACACATTAAACAATGATCAAGAAATTTATCAAGATTTATCACGGACTAAAATAAAATAAAATTCCCATTAAGACGTTCATTCATTACTCATTCCATTAATCAAGTGCGTCAAATTAAAATGCATATAAAAGAGACAATCAATAAAAAAGAGACAAATAAAACAGGATAATTACGTAATTTGTAGTTTATGACATATTTCTATATCAGTTCATTTGTCGTCACAATCTGTGTGTTCTCTTACATTACACATTATACCCATTTCTGTTGGTAGTATTCTTTCATGGAATATTCTGTACACAAGATCTAAAAGTTTGTGACGATGGTAAATTGCTACAAGTAATATGTTTTTGGACATTATCCATTGTCTTATCTATTTTTAAAAAACCATCCTGTTTCTTTTTAAACCACAACGCTCTGGTGTAAAGCCTCTTATATGTTTAGCTTCATTAGTTGAATATTTTCTTAGCTCTCACAGATGGTTGTGTTGTACTTGGATTATGAACCCCTTCTGAAACTGGCATAGGTGTCAGGAGATAGGGGCTAGCTCTGTCTATTGGACCCAACTGAGTAGGTTTTACCTGAGGATAGGGACAGAATCCAGTCTCTGAAACGTTGTGTTTTAAAAAGAAGCAGCAGGGTATTTTAAAAAATAGACAAGATTATGGATAATGTCCAAAAACATATGACTTGTAGATATTCTGTATGCAAAGTCACTTAATTTTGCATATACATTCTCAAGTAAAACTTATACATTTTCATTACAAGCAACATATGAAACTAACTGCTAGCTATCTCCTTCTGTGTATTAATAATTACAATATAAGGTCAGAAAAATTATGAAGACAACTATAATTGCTTTATTTTTGCACAAACATGAACAATTAATATTTCTGTGGCCTCTTACACAATATACATATAACTTCGAGCTGCCTGTCTCATGGAAGTAACTCCTTGATATCTGATAGTTCCTTTGCTAGTCAAGACTAAAATTTGATGTGCATAACTGAAGATGAACGAAATAAAATATTATATATACATTTGGAAAGCACCTAAGCACTATTAGCATTCTGAGGTTTTTTGGAAATCTGAAACATTACTTCTAAGTTATACCATATGTACATGCATAAAGATGTTTGACTGACTGGCCATTGGTGCAGGGTGTCACATGATATAAAGAATTTCATGCACACAAATCTGCAGTACACTACTTTCAATTCTCTTCTAACGGATACAACAAAGAACCCACCAACACCAAATATTGTGGGAGAGAGTGATATGGAATTTCAGGGCATGAACCCCCATTCCCAACTACTAGGTGTCAATAATTTCAACCTTTATAAAAACTGCTAAATCTGACAGCATGTGACATATATGTGGCATTTTATCTGAAATACGAAACTAAGAAATATTTGGAGAGAATTTTCCTCATATATTAAGTTCTTATGGAGTTTCTATAGTTATGAGTATTTACTCATGCAAGAAGACTGCCTTCAACAACCCAGAATAGTGGGTTTAATTAACATTCATTGTAATACGCCGTATATATTTGGCCTTGAAATACACTTGTATTGGTGTAGTCTGCATATTATCTCTTTACGCGTTGTGTGCCAGACTGCATGGGTGCGAATTATGTCTCTCACATTAAGAGAAGAACTTGGAAAGTTTCTGAGATGAGAATTTTTGAGAAGAGGACGCTGGGGAGAATATTTATATACTCAAGAAGTAGGAATTAACAGGAGGCTGCAGGAAACTACATAATGAGAGGTACATAATTTGCATGCCACGTCAGACATTATTAGGATGAACAACTCAAGGAAGATGAGATGGGCGGGGTATTTAGCATTCATGGGTGAGAACAGAATTCATAAAATATATTGTATATCTACCTGAAAGAGAGTAACTACTTGGAACACCTAATCATAGAAGGGAATGTAGTAATATTAAATTTGACGTTATAGAAATAGAAAGGAAGTGGACTGGATTCATCTAGCTTGGTGTGGGATCAGTGGCAGGCTCTTGTGAACACCTAGATGAACATTTCAGCTCCAAATAGTTATTGTTAATTTCTTGATTAGCTGAGCAACCGTTAGCTTAAAAAAAGGATTTTGATAGATGGGTTTTTTAGTTGTTTAGTTAATTAGTTAGTTTGGTGAATAGTTTTCAGTGAGAACACAGGTTTGAAAATGGGAATTGCATGAAAATGACTCAGCATTGTGGCCAAAGGCCGAATTTGGTACTAGCGGTATTGAGCCGTTGGGGTTTGTTACCACATGGTTAATTGACTGAGTGTATTTATTATTGTTAGGAGTTGAAAGGGACAGCACGTGTCAATGTGACCTCGTACTCACCTTGCGGTAAATCCCCGCGGGGAATCAACATGGACGGCCGCCTGGAACAAGACAGCCCATACAAGCCAGTAAGTGCGGAAGAGGGAGAACCGATGGTTCGGGGACGGAGAGACTTGCTGAAACAATCGAATGCGGTTCCAATTAGATCGAGTTAAGGGGCTACCACCGTGACCTGAAACCAAACCGCTTATGGATATAGTCAAACACGCACCACTCGTATGTGAGTGAACAATTTTTCATGTTTTGATATGTAAAACCGGTGCCCAAATTTTGTCTGCACCTTTCAGTTATATCCTGCAATAATAACAATGACCGAGTCAGTATGAGTACGACTCTAATGGCGGAAAGGTTAACTAACAAAACGGACGCCAAATGTGAATATGATTTCGGGGTTGAGGAAGTCATCACTTTCGCGGCTTTTAATTTGTTGTTTCTTTGTGTATGTGTGTACTCGTACTAAACAAAAAGATTCATCTACACCTCTCTAATGAGAAAGACGACAGACGACAATCAGCATCCTTTATTCCCTCTGCAATTAAAGCCTGCTACAAATCTATAGTAGTGTGAAGTGAGCAATGATTCATCCATTTTCCAATAGAGGGCTCAGAGCTCTACATGCACCTCAAGTTAATTCAATATTGTTGTATCGAGACAGTAGAGAACCGTGACCCATATGTTTCATTGCAGTACACGTGTTTAAAAGCTATAGGCTACACTGCGATTGCTTTGTCATCATAAATTGTCTTAACGCAATCGTATTTATTTTCAAAACGTTTAGTGACGGCAGACAGAAGACAACTAACTTTTTAAATTAATTATGATACCTCTTACCGCTTCAGAGTTCTGTGTATTTAAGTTTTAAGCCAAAACAGTTTTTTAACCTCTGCATTTTTTCATATTCTTATAATTTCTGTGAATAGTAATGTGAGTATATAATGTGATATGTTGTTAGTACAGAAAATATCTTCTCATTTAATTATCGTCATTATATCAGATAGGGCACGGGGTAGCGCTATGCTACAAGCCAGAAGGTAGCGGGTTCAAGTCCCAATGAGGTCATTGGATTTTTTCAATTGATCTAATCATTCCAGCCTCACTATGTCCCTGGGGTCGACTTAGCCTCTAACAGAAATGAGCAACCTTACTGCCATCTTTGAGCCGATTCTCTAGATAATGTGGGACCCTCATGTCTCACAACCCTATGGGCCTTCACGGCATGTTACAGGGATACCTTTACTTTATCTTTAATCACAAATACTTACTGCCTTATAATCTGGTAGAAGTTTACCGTTATTTTGGAGGAATTTAAAGCTTCCATATTCAGGTTCAAAAGGTACACGGAGCAAGTAAATTTACTTTGCTAAATATACAGGTCTACATATGCAAAATTACATGAATCCTCCACAAGTTCGTTAAAACACAACATTAAACTTCAACAATATATGTGTTTCTTTGGCAGTAACTAACTGGCCTGAAGTATAGATAGCTCTTTCTTTAGGTGTGTCCAGAAGTGAGACCACATTTAGGTGTGGCTAGTGAGGTCATCAGTCCAATACCAGAGTCAGAACATCATGGACATGAGTCTTGTAATGTTTTAGTTTATTATGTATTTAAGGAAATGCAAGACATTTTGTTTAATCTGAAATTAATTTCTTCACTTGGTTATAATATTTTGTTTTTCTAAAATATACTATGTTGTAAGAAATTTAGGCCTGTTGCTTCTGAATATTATAATAGCGGCAGCAGTTCGGAATGTAGAAAAATTATATTATGAAAGAAACAAATAACAGAGAAGAATGCATACTGTGAAAGGGAAAAATGCTGGAAACAATTTATCATCATTTACTTCACTAACATGAGCATGTGTGTTCACATGTATAAGTTTACTTTGTTATCTACTGAATGTGTTTAAGAATATGTATTTGTCACAAATTTCAAAGGAATAAAAACCAAATTCAATCTGGCAGCATCTTCTAGGGAAGGCTATGGTTCAGAAAGCGCTGTTTTTCAATGATAATGAAGAACTGGACTCACTAGTCATCCACAACGGCAAATTGCTAAGACCAGTCTTCCATGTTTAACATAATTTCAATCACAGTCATAGATTCCTCAAGGGATCTCATTTGCCTCTCCTTCCCTCATACAAGTTCAATCTGTAAATATTTTTAAAAATATTTTTAAAAATATTTGCAACCTCCTATCCAATGGGTACCGGGGGCTCTTTCCACGAGGGCAAAGTAGCCAGGGGCATGAATCTGACTAGTCACGTCCATCTAGTGCCACTCCCATATATGTCTTCATGGTATTGTGTTTAATTGAGCACAGGGACAGCCACACTTTTATAAAATTCTAAAAGTACTTTTTAATAAACAAACAGTTTATGTGAAGATTAATACTGAGGTTTCTGAACAGTAATGTACATATTGCAAGACTTAACTTAAAGCCTATTACTATCTTGTGAGTTCGTCTTCAACTTAGAACCCATTATCTCCAAAAGAATTGGAGGTGTCAAGCACGGAGATATGTGTTCTTAGTCTTGCTTGCCATATTTAAAAGCACCTTCTTCTGAGTTTATATGTTTGATAAATATTTCACACTGCCAGCAGTACATAATGAATGTCTGCCTTTTCAAAACCAAGCCAATGAGAAATGTAACGCTTTAAAGAAGAGAGCTAGCTATATTTACCACTTGTTTTATATCCAGAAAGCGCATTTTGCCCACAAATTACATTTATGTGTTCCTTAGGATTCTCAGAATAAACAGTGGAGTGAGGAAGTTTCTTTGATATAGGTTTTTAATTTATTTCCTTACACAACCTTAACAAAGGGATCTCACTAATGGGGATGAAGTGTATTTTACACAAGGCAGGTGCTGAATTTAAAATATTCTTTTCATGAATATTATGCTCTGAAGAGTTAAGCAGATTCTGAGAACATGTGAAGTTGTATGTGATGACTGTATAATTGCTGGACAAGAAACAAACAAGGTTTTTTACAATTTAAGGTTGCATTTTTTACAGACACTTATGATTTCTGACCAAGAGTTTTCTTTCACTTCAACACTTAACGATATATACTCAAAAACAGGTAAAAACAGGAGGATATATGAACATAAGTTGTGCCTCAGTCTTAGGACCTGGTGCGTCCCTTTAATTGGGTTGTATGTCGAAAAAGTTTAAATCAAATTCATTATAAACTGGATTGTTTAGAGGTACTGTACATTCCTGGAGCTTAAGTCTCGAACCTATTTTTCAACGTTTAGGCTACAAGACTGTAACATGAATCAGTGAGTAAAGACGGGGTTCGGATTGGTAACTGGATTTTTTGACCACTTACAGGTAGTAACTACAATTAACTTTAACACTTTCAAGATTACTCTAATTATAACACATGAATAAAGTATTCTATATTTGCTTACACTAGTCGCTGCTAGGTAACAAATCTAAACAATGGCTATTCCTCTGCAAAGTTTTCTCAATCCGTTCTCTGACAACGTATTTTAACACAGGAAGTTTAACTGTCCCGTCCCACGACAGATATCACTACACTGTAGCACACATAAAGTCTGGAATTCACACGCTAAGTCTTCACTGGCCGACTTCTAATTCTTCTTCTACTACAAGCTTCCCTTGGCTATCTCCTGCCGAGAATTGTCTGACTTGTAGCACCGATCGTCTTCAAGATAACTCCTCTGCACAGACCCCATAGAAAATACCGTCTTCTCTTGTTAAGCATGCGCGTTTGCATCTTCTTTACCTGGCAAGATACGTCTTACTGTTCGGTGAGTTGACATGGCCCGCGCCACATACAAAACATAATCTCCCCTCTATTTTCGTCACTCTTAACGGGAGATGGTGTTTATAGGCTGTCGCATAGAAACGGCAGTTCTTCTATTGTTGCCTGTATTCGTTGTCGTTGGAATGTTTACGGACATTCCTCTGTTGTTATGGAAACAGCCCATATGTCACAATGTCATCGTTTTATTGTAAAATTAATAAAGGGACACTCACTCACTCATAGAGCTCAGTCCTTCTTGATAAGCCACCAGTTGTGCAGCTACTCAAGAACTTCCCACCATTTTATGGAACCAGAAGGTTCATTACCGCGTTCACAAGAGAACTCCACTGGTCCCTGTCCTGAGCCGGATCAATCCAATCTATACCATCCCATCCTATCTCTCTAAGATCCACTCACCTACGTCTTGGTCTCCGTAGTCGTCTTTTTCCTTCTGGCTTTCTCACCAACATCCTACATGCATCCCTCTTTTCCCCCATTCGTGCTACATGCCCTGCCCATCTCATCCTCCTTGACTTGATCATTCTAATTATACTTGGAAAGAGTACAAATTATGAAGCTCCTCATTATGCAGTTTTCTGCAAACTCCTGTCACTTCATCTCTCTTCGGTCCAAATATTCTCCTCAACACCCTGTTCTCAAACACCCTCAGTCTGTGTTCCTCCCTTAATGTCAGAGACCAAGTTACCTGAAGCCATATATCAAGCTTAAACCGCGGAAAATGAAGGACTAACATTAAGAAGTTGTACTTACCTTCATGTCAAATCCTGATGGACTAAGCCATTCGAATAGGAAGATGGTGAATGTGGCTGCCTGTATCGCTACAACGCCCACCAACATCCAAGATGCAGTATCGAAAGGTTCTAGAAGCAATAGAAACTTATTAGGTTCTAAAGGATTCTGATGACCAAGATTAACACTCGGGATTGCTGTGTGACTGGATTTTGTCCATCTTCTTGTATTCTAAAGAACACAACGTTTCGGAGGCCGGATCTGTTTCCGTTCTCAGGTATGGAGTAGGAGGCATATACTCTGTTGGTTTTGTTACAAAGGGTTAACCTGTGTCTAGAGATTGAGGTTATCTCTTACTACGGCACCACAGAAGGTGTTCCCCGCTCTTTCTCCTGACGATGAAGACAGTTCCAGTTCCAGTTCCAGAAATATTGTGATCTTTAGAGTACTGAGCGTAGGTCAAAGTCCAGAAGCCCAGTAATCCAGAATAAAAACTGAAATATTCTCCTGCATCACATAATTAAATCATGATCACTTGACATAATGGTACGGACAAAGTATGTGTGGAACTTAGGATATTCCATGAGAAGGACGTTTGCGAGTTATAAAACAATGGCCAAGAATACGTCACAGGCAAACCACGTGGCTGCCTTGGGCGGCATGATTTCAGTGCTGGAATAGTTTACAAATGTTCATTTCGTAGCCATTAATTGTCAATAACCTACACATGGCATGCAACAATGTAAATAAACCTGTTTTAGGGAGTATGGTAGCTATTTTTTTATTGCTAGTGGGGTGGGACTAAGTCCCTTGTACCGCGGCCACTTCTGGCCTATTGTACCAGTCCAAGATAATAGGTGAGGGTGACTGTGGAGCAACTGGTAGAATGAAGATTGGCAGGGGAAACCGAAGTACTCGGAGAAAACCTACCCCAGCGTCATTTTGTCCACCACAAATCCCACTTGACCAGACCCCGGATCGAACCCGGGCCGCCGCGGTGGGAAGCCAGCGACTAACCGCTTGAGCTATGGAGCGGCCTCAGTATGGTACCTAAGTGCGCTTTCGTCAGGATGTCTGGAATGTTTGTGTTATTAATTACAATGAAATTAAAAAAAAAAATATATTCTGAATTATGTTTGTGCGTGGGTGGGGGCGCTATACATCAGACAGTTCGTCTCCGATTTCCCAAAACGGTGGCCGGGGTCCGTTTCCAGGTCTGGTAATGTGGGATTTGTGGTGGACAAAGTGACACTGGGATAGGGTTAAGCAAAATTGAATTATGTAAGATTTGAGGTTTTCACGGCGGTGACTATGAAGAAAGCAGTCTTTTTTTGATGTTGCACCGTGTAGATGTGGCGTTAACCGACGTTTCGGAGGAACGTATCGCCTCCATCTTCAGGATAAATGGAGGAGATACGTTGCTTCGAAACGTCGGTTAACACCACATGTACACGGCGCCACATCCAAGAAGACTGCTTTCTTCAAAACTGAATTAGTTCCTACAAAAACAAGAAACCATGAAATGAGAATTAAACGTCTTTAACAACGAAATATTTAAATGTCAATAAAACTAATTAAACTAACTTATTAACTTTCGGTCTTGCAAAGAAGAGATGTGAAGTTGAAGGAGGTTAGACTGAAACAGGTTGATACCCAGTGTTCGAGTTTGGCACTAAAATACAGGTCAAGTTGTCTCTGTACCTAACGCTATGAAGACGAGTGGGGGAGTAGAGGTATAGCTCCACAATTTTTCACCTCGGCACTACATAGAAGTGAGTGGTCATCTTCACGCCACGACAGTTTTATCCTAAGGGGAAAGAGCCCAAAAACCCATCGGGTAGGAGGCTGGGTAGGTCACAAAACCGGTCTAAACACAGTGAAGAACTGAATAATCTCATACCTTTCGGGGTTCGAATGACGGCCTTTCAGCTCGCCTCTATTCCTTCTGTGTTATAACGACCTTCCTTGCTGAATTATCATATTTTCTTCAGAAAATTAGTCTTTATGCTGTTTAAACATAGTCCCATTAACAGAGTAAAGTAAATGTAAAGCTATCCCTGGAATAGGCCATGGAGGTCCATAGGGTTGTGAGACGTCGAGGCTCCCACCTTTTCAAGATCACAGATGGCAGTGAGGTTGTCAGCCTTAAGCGCCGGCCGCATAGTGCGGTTGGAAGGATCATGTCAATTAAAAAAGCCAGGGACATCATCGGGAATTGAATCCGCGACCTTCCCGGCTTATAACATTAAGAGACTAATATCTGAAGAAAATTACGTACCTAGGAACGCTGTTGGAGAGATGATACCAGTCCTCTTTGCGACCAAGATGGCGATACCTGTCTCCATGAAGGGCACTGTGAAGTCCACTACCGCTTCCCTTTCCGAATTTATCATGAGAGACGTCATTACCATATCCGTCTTCCGGTTGACAAGGTCTGCAATGAGGCCGTTCCATTTCCCATTCTGAAATGTAAGGAAGTGGCAATAAATCAGTTTCATGCAGTTACCGAGTGTCACAGACGTTCGTCCCCAGGTGGGTCAGCATATCTACGGTGTGTACTACCAGAAAGGAAAGGCTAAAGGAGCCATACGAGCCCTATATTTCTCATGCAAATTCTAAACCCGTGTAGGATTTCCGGTTCTCACAGAGGTGGCTACGATATTTCTGTCTTCTGGGATATCCACCTCTGTGGTCTAGTGGTCAGAGTTCCTGGCTACGGATCCAGAGGTTCGGGTGCGATTCCCGGCGCTACCAGATTTTCTGATAAGTAGTGGGTCTGGAACTTGGTTCACTCAGCCTCGTGAGGATAATTGAGGAGTTATTTCAAGGAAATAGCGGCTCCGTTCTAGAAAACCGAAATGAACGGCCGTGGGGATTCGTTGCGCTGACCACGTGACACACTCTATCTGCAAAAGTTGACACTAACTTCACCCACAAGCGACGGTCGCTCGGTCGGTATAGTTCGCTTACTGACTACAGGACACAGAATTTGTTTGTCTGTAGTCCGTTGTAATTCAACCGACGCTTCTGAGGAATATGTCGCTTCCATCTTTAGGATTGAAGAATAAGTGAAGCTAGAAACCAACAAGAAGTGGGAAGCAGGTGGAGCTCTGCACGGCTTATTCTTCGACTCTGAAGATCGAGGCGACATGTTCCTCCGAAATGTTGGAATATACAGCATTCAAAAATTAGATTGAATGTTGCTGTCAAGCATGCAGCATTCATGCCTCGTATTTCAGAGGGCATGGGTTCAAATGTCGGCCTTGTGACTAGCTACCCTGTTGATGATACTCGTTGATTGTCCAGTCCCACGGGACAAAGCAGGAATAATACTAAAGTACTCTGATTAGACAACGACATCTTCCTTCCGACTAACTCACTAACTAACTATGGAGCTGAGTCCTTGAGAAGCTGCAAGTTGCTTACCTACTCAAGAACTTCCCAACATTTTATGGAACCCGAAAATTCGTTGAGCATTTCACTTGTCCTCATCCTGGGGCAGATTAAACAAGTCCACTTCTCTAAGATCCATTTTAATATTATCCTCCCACCTACATCTAAGTCTTCGTATTTGTCTCTTTTCTTCTGGCTTGCCCCCGAAACCTGAAATGCATTCCTGTTCTTCCCATGCTACTACATGGACTTACCCACACATTGTCCCCATCATGCAATTATCGCCAGTCTCGTAACATTTCATCCCTCTGCGATCCAAATATTCTCCTCAGCCCCCTGTTCTCAAATGCCTCCTGTATGTTCTTCCCACAACGTCAGAGACAAAGTTTCACAGTCATACAAAACTACAGGCAAAATTATGGTTCATGTTTTTAGACAGCAGACGAGGAAACAGATGGATCTTAACTGAATGGTAACAATAGCTTAGTCGGTATAGCGACTGGCTACGGAGGGGTTGGAGTTCGAGTCCCGGTAGGGTCAAGAATTTTCTTTTCTCCACATCGTTCAGACGGACACTGGGGTCCATGCAACCTCCTATCCAATGGGTACCGGGGGTTCTTTCCCCGGGGATAAAGCGGCAGGGGCTTCAAGCTAACCACTCACCTCCAACTAATGCCGAGGTCAAAAAAATCTGTATTTATACATCCATTCCCCCATACACCATCACGACGTAGTACTTACCTTAATAATAACAATAATAATAATAATAATAATAATAATTCAATTCATTTTTATTTACGTGCAATAACTTAATAGCACAGTGGCCAATTACGAAGTTAGCACGAGTATATAAGGTACAGNGCAGGGGCTTCAAGCTAACCACTCACCTCCAACTAATGCCGAGGTCAAAAAAATCTGTATTTATACATCCATTCCCCCATACACCATCATGGCGTAGTACTTACCNGCTAAAGAAGACTTAAATATACACATACATTTATGAATCAGTAACGAGTGTTGCTAATACTGTTAGTAACTAAATACTAATATAAGACAACTGAGAGTGATAAAATTTATAACAAGTCAATAAATTAAAACCAATTACATAAGAAAATTAACGTTAGCCGAGGTACATACATTTGTAGTTAATGAAAACACTAATCCATTAGCACCGTAAAAGGTTTGGTACATGCTTGTAAAATATAATTCAGAGAAACCGCTCCGTCTGCAAATATGTCAAGATCTTTACCCACCACGTTGGTAGCAAGGGCGCACCGAGAAGAGGGACAATGTCTTTTTGAGGGACGAACGCTAAAAGTAGAGAAGTCTCGAACATGACAAGTAGGAACACGAAGACTAGCATTATCCAGAAGGGAGGAGCAGGATTTAAGGTCACGATAAACCTGAATGAAGAAAAGTGCATCAAGAAGATATCTACGCAGACTCAGAGGGTGCAATCTTAGTCTCTCTAAGGCAGATGTATAACTATAGGAGCTACGTAGCGGAATCCCTCGGTTCAACTTGCGTAACGCGTATTCCACCGGGCTTGCAGCGAACCAATTGATAAACAACTAGCCGATCACTTCGGCTATGTCGGCTTCAATGCAACTAACTCTGGTCGATTCGTGGCGTACAAAAGGTGAGATGACTTAAGTTGTTTGTTTCGAGCAAACAGGAGGTACACGGAGTAATTCAGACACCTTTACGAAACTAAAGCTTACAACATCGTGACTCGACATTTAGAATTTAAACGCACAGCTCGTGGTGTTCCCATTCCTCATAATTACGCGCCCGTTTGAATTTAGGGAGCGGGCGACAAAATAAAATGAGATCTTAATTAACTTAGATGTCGCGAAAATTGTCTAATGAAGGTTCCTTTAAATTGCACAAGATTACTTTCAACATGATAATAACATTCCTTCCTCCTTTCTCTTTTGTCTGAGTCATCCACGAGGATAAGAATATATTAGACAGAGAGAGCAGCTGTCATAAAGAAAGTCTTTCCTCATTTATTTTTGTTCCCCTCTACATAACTTAAAATTAGAGTTAATATTGTAACGGATTTGCTCGAAGCGTTTCTAGGAGGCGGCTCGGTAAACAGAGTAAACGTGCAACAATGGAAGATGTGTCTTGGTGGACGAATGTTATTGCGCGTTGCTAGGCAACAGCGCACCATTAAAGACGCTGGTTAGGAGCAGAAAGCAAAAGCAAGTATCGGAAAATATTCCTTTGTAAATAGGACCATCCAGCTTTGGAACCACTTACCTGCAGATGCTTTAGGGACTCTCTCCTGTAAATCAAGTAATATTAGGAAAGGGTTAGGAAAACAATAAATAAGGTGAAGTGAAGGTATAGGAGAAATCACCCGAAAAGGCAGTGAAGTGAAGAGAAGTGGGATAAAGGGAAAGTCATTGTGAAATGTGGACGCATCAGAACCTGACATTACACATTCCAGTACTATTACTGTTTAGTGTATAGTACACTCATTCTTTTATTAATATTAATTTATAGATTTGCAGTTGTAATTGTATTTGTTATAGCTGTAAGTGTATTTTCATTGTATTTACTGTGTGCAAGTGTGTCCTCTGTTGTGTGATGTGTTTTGTTTGAGTGTGGTGTGTTATTTTGTGTGATGTGTGTATTTGTGTTGTGTCTTATTGTAGTACCACAGCCACCGGGAAAAAACCCCCATTTGCAGTTTAAATAAATAATAATAAAAAACAAAAGCCTTTCCCAGGAGATGAAAGAAGAGCAGAGGGTTTGTTGCCTAACAACGTCTTAGATGAGGTTATAAAACTCCAGCTTCAACAACAGATGAGTTCAGTTTGTGTTAGACCTGCGAAGAGATCAGTCAGTGGTAATCAGACTTCATTTTGGTTTCGCTTATAGCAGAAGCAGTAATTGTGGTACTGAAATTATGAATAAGTGTACGTGTAAGTGTAAAGATAAACGTCCAATGAAAGAATTCGTTCCGATCCGAAGGCTCACGCAATTTAACCTTATCGCGTCTCACAGCAGACATGTTACAATATATTGTCACGTGTTTGGTGTATAACGCGACAAATAACTTCACGCCGTATTTGATATAGCGAATTTTATTTCACATTCGCACTTACAATCACCCAAATTACAGATTCACAATTACTGCTATCTGCAGTATCACAAATACTACACTGCAAATGTCAGAATACAACTGACTGGTTGCTGGCTATCTCGGAACTCTCTCGGAACTAACTCGTAGGTAGCTGCCTTGAGAACTGTTGATACCACACTGACACACACTTGCTGCTCAGCCGGCTTTTATTCCGTTCGCTGTTGCTAGGGTCGTCTATCGCAACCACTGTTTATCCGCGTTGCATAGCGACCAGTGCGCTGGGATTCGGCCCGCTTCGGTTCCGCTCGGCACGTCACCGCCGCCGGGGGGGGGGAGTGGTGTCCTGCGTAGCGCGAGAAGTAGTAACGAGAGCGCTACGTTACCGCCACGTGCCGCTGGGGAGGTAGCGGTCCTACGTTGCGCAACATGTCACACTGCTCCCTCCTTAAGGCTGTTCGTCCCGAATAGCCTAACGGTGCATCCCCGTTCCTTTGCTTCGGAGACTGTTCTTGCAGCATCTGTTCTCCGGCCGTTACAACCGCTCCATTCTTAAGACCAACTCGTCTCGAGCGGTTTCCTTTCAGCTTGCCAGAAGATCCAGTCGTATCCCATTCATCCATCGCTTTCTCCCATGACACTTTAACTCTCTCTGGGGAGGCCGGTTCTTCTACATTACCGGTTCCTCCTCAGCTTGAAGTCTCTTTTTCCGTTTGGGAGGGGGTCGTCCCCTCCACAAGGTCCAATCCTTGATTATTTCTTTCTTCGGAGGTTCCTTATGTCGACGTAACAGCTATTGATGCGTTGTTTTCACTCGCTGATGTCGTTGTTCCTTCTGGACTTCCCGCCACTTGCTGGCACGGGACCGTGGAGCCAAGTCCTTTCTCCGGTATCCGAAGGCTCCCTGCGGAGTTTCCTTCTTGGAGGCATTTCTCCAACGTCGTGCCACTGTCGCGCAACGGGATATCTTCCTGCAGA